TTGAAATTAATTCGTACCTTCAGAAAGCTTTTGGCTGCTGCTCTTGCATTTTGATAGTACTCCTTGTAGGTCAGAGTGACCCATGTTCCATCCTTCTTTCCACGGAGGGCAGGATAGTCTCCGTACTTCTGCACTGTAGCCAGGAACATCTGATGGATCGTCATTGGAGGTTCTGAGCCGAGTCCCGATGTCTCCATCCTCAGTTTGACAGGCTTGTTTCTGACTGTGCTCCACAGGTCCTGGGCTGGAGCGAGACGCACACCTCCAGTCGTCAATGGTATAGCAGGGTCACTGCCTTTTTGATCGGGACAGCAAGGGCACACAGGAGACATGATTATATTTCAAAAGTGCTTCTGAGAGGTATTGCAAATTTATAGATGAACCTTCTGCATGCTCTTTAAGCAAGAAGAGATCAGTCCATTCAGGCACCTGCCCTCGTCTCCTGTCACACACTCAGAATAACACTGAGGAACAAACAGCTTATCAAGAATGCAGAAATAGGTCAGGTTACTGACAGGATATGGTGTGTGTTTCTCACCAATCAGGTTCCACGTGTGTAACAGGTAAAAAAAAAAAAAATGAACAGAACCATTTCTAATAAAAGTTTATATTATTACTAATTATTACTATGGTATATTTACATGTTGTGGGCCTCAAATCTACATACTGTACACTGAAAAAAAATGACTCTGAAACGATTTTCACTCAGAAATTTCACAAATAATTACAAAGAAATTGAATTAAACATAACATTTTGAAGAAGAAAGACTGAAAGAGTACTTTCTTGTAAAACACACTCCAATAAACTGTAAAACTTTGAAAAAAAAAATTTTCTGCTGCAGCTCCATTTGTAAATTATATTATATGAATCTTTATGTTATATAATTCTTGTTTTATTAGTGTGTGTGTGTTTGTGAATAATCTATTTTAATTATTTGTCAGCAAGGAGAACATGACTGACATATACTGAATACTCTTCAGAATTTATGCAAAATAGTTGGATTTTTAATATGCAAACATATTGTGAACATTCATGTGAAGACTGTACCTGTGTTACTCTTCATTACAGAGAATGAACAATCTCCATTGGGTTGGTCTTTGGAGTCATGTAGTGCTACAGTCTGATATTCTTCAGTTTTAACAGAACTAGCAAGAAAGACAAATGAGACTTGATATCATAAAATATACATCAATAAAACAAATGACAATAAAAAGGCAAATAATGAAGTACTACAATATTGGAGGAGGACAGATATGACACATCTCATTGATTAAGTCTACAAGTCTACATACCCTTCACTATCATTTCCAGAGACAGGAATTTCCTTGGAATCACTCTGTGATATACACTCATCGGCAGACATTGTACAGAGTCTTAAGATGATAACAAAAGAAAAGATTATTACAAAAGCTTGAGTTCACAAAGTAGCGACCAAATACAATAAAGAAAAGCTATAATATAAATTTAAATATTATATGTCTAATGTCTTATTCAGTCAAAAGACTCCAACACTAGTGGATTCAGAATGGCATTTATCTTTTATATGTACCCCCAGCTCTTGCAAAATACTAAGCAATTTGTGCCAGTGGATAGAGTGCCATGATGATGAAAGCAGCAGACGAGAGGTTACTGTCAATGACTAACCTATCACCACCATTAGGAAATTCAGATTAAGGCAGTATTACGTTAAATAGTCTGATGTGCAAATGTGCATATCTTTACATTTAGAATTATACATGAGAAGAAATACATGTGTTTGCAAAGGTTTAGTCTTACAACATATGTGCATTTGAAGTTTGTATAAGTATGCCATCTAGAGGATGTCGAAGTAATTAATACATTTGGCATGTAAGGGGATATAGGTCACCCAAAAATGAAAATTCTGTCATCATTTAATCCCGCTCCGCTTCCAAACCTGTATGAATTTCTTTCGTCTGTTGAACACAAACGAAGATATTTTATATCTTGAAGAATGTTGGTAACCAAACAGTTGACGGTTACCTTTGACTTCAATATTTTTTTTTTCCATACAATGGAAGTCAATGGCAACCAGCAACTGTTTAGTTACCAACATTCTTCAAGATAACTTCTTTTCTGTTCAACACCTGAAAGAAAATCATACAGGTTTGTAACGACTTCAGGGTGAGTAAAATGATGATGACAAATTTTTGGGTGAACTATAACTTTAAGTTGAGTAGATTGGACATTGCATTAGACATGTTTATATATATATATTTATTTATTTATTTATTTGTGATTGTGATATATTGGGCCGGTGAGCAAAAAACAAACAAACAAACAAACAAACAAACAAAACAAAACAAAATCATTTTTTGGCATTTTTTTTTTAAATGTTACAATTCCATAACAGTTAATTTAAAGAAAATTAATAAAAGTAATTTTTTCTTTTGGAAAATCCTGGGAATGATGCCTCAAGCAGAAGTTCATAACTTGACTACTCAAGATTGCAAAAGGACAAGGTTCATGATAATTACAACACAAGTGTGGACACATCATGATCTGTGCCCAACTGAACTTGTCCACAGATGAGAATAAAACTCTTGAGAATGACACAGTTCATTACCGACAAGGACAATGAAATAGGCCTAACTAATCTTGTGAAATAATTTGATGGTTTTAAGGCATTGGATCCTAATCTGTACTTAAAGGTGTGGGAGTGGAGGTGTCAGGTTCAATATTCATTCATTCACATGGGCAGCTTTTCACAAAATACCAAGGTAATGTTCTACTGAATCAAAGCATTATGCATAAAAAAAAAATTAATAATCACAGGAAATGGAAATCCACTTGCTTGGAAAAAAGCTATCATCTTAATAATATGATCATACTGCAACAGTTCTATAACATATAATATTTAAAGTGACACATAACCACCTGATGACAAAGCAGGAGAAGAGAGAACCTTAATTTTGTTCTTTCAAGAGTATAACAGAGACTGGGGCTAGCTATCACACTTTTAATTCTGTGACTATTTCTTAGGTTGGGTTTCATTTTAAAGTCAATTTCTGTATAGGCACATGTTTTGACAAGAAAACATATATTGGACATTTACACTGTTAATGGCCAGGAAAACAAAATATATATCACATATACAGTAGGCATACTGTCACACTATATGGGGTAAATCACAGTGGAAATCAGTTATGTAACTAAAAACAATGAATGATATAACAAACAGGTAAATAGGATACAACATTTTGGCCCACAAATAATGTCATTAGAACATTTTATCAAGGCTATTTATAATATTTAAAAAGCACTTGACAACTTACCTCAAAAATAGTCTACTTTATGAAAAAATCTACCCTTGTGACAACTAGGCTATATTGAAACATGATGAATACATTACACTCAAAATATCACCCTACATTCAATTAAACACCTAAATATTTACCAGAATATTTACTAGAGACCTATACATTTGACCGTGACGGTTTAGCTCAAGGACACTTGCAGAATGAAAGGAAATGTCATTCGTATGATGAGTTTGCAAACATATTATCTTTATGACATAGGCTATACATTTACTAATGTAAAAAAAAAAAAAAAGTGATTAAAGTTGACTTACATGTTCGCACGAGTTGTTCCCCCTGCCAGTGTTTGTTATGTTGAAGGCTTGGAAATTGTGTAGTTTCCGAGCAGGTGTGGATGAAAGACAGATTTTGCCCTATGTACAACTACATATGTTTCTCAGGTGGAGTAAGAACTGAATAGTGCGTCTACTATTCCATTCACCCATCATGTCACGTGACGTGCGGAGCAGGTGACAGGACTTCACACTGCTGGAGTCTGCGCTCGCATTTCCTTTAGTAAACAAACGATTTCATCGTCACAGCACCATGTAAACAAAAATAAATAAATAAAAAATAATTGTCAACGAAATTGAATGTTGACGTTTAGTGACGTTCTTTCTTTTTTAACAATACACACAAAACGTATGAATGTCTTTCACAGACTTCAAACGGAAATTAAAGAAATTTGATATCTGGCATGTCATGTAAATATTTTACAACTGATATTTCAATAAAATTTGCATTCTAAAATAACTGCCTATTCAAGGTGCATTGTATGGCATTTGCACGAATGCTTGCAAGACAACAGCAGATTTCTGTATTAATATTCATTCATTCATGTTCGCAGACCTGCTTTTGATATTTCAGGTGATAATCAGTGTTGGGGAAAGTTACTTTTAAAAGTAATGCATTACAATTACCGTTGTAATACACTGATAACCACCAAATGCAGGTGGTGATGAGAAAGTCACATGATGAACCAAAGCCCATCACAAGCAGCTTTTAGATAATAACATATATAGAAGGTGCACAGTGTCATTCACACAAACACTAAACACCATCATGGTGACACTTATGAAACTGAAATAATGCAATAAACATTCATTTAACAACATTAGATGTAACACACAACCTTAATATACAAAACTGATAAGAAAAAACTAAGAAGAAACAGTTATTTCAACAAAAAAACATCAAATTTGAAATGTAACGCAGGGAATTCTGGGAATGTCAGTTTACGGTTATTCACTGTAAATTATAGTCTTTTTCACTTCCATTAATGTCCAATACATGTAATGTCCAATACAGTTTTTCACCGTATATAGTAGGGGAATTTACCGTTAACCATTTAACAGGGTTTTACTGTATTATTTTTACAGTCTTTTACCGTTAAATTCACGGTCATTTTTTACAGTGTACATCATGTTCACACAGCGCACACAACGCCTCTGTGCTCCCGATTTCTCCCAATATGGGGACAGGAGAGATGTCAGTCAATAAATGGGAAAAAAAAGTAACTCAGATATTTTCTTGTAAATTAAAAAAGTAATGCGTTACTTTACTAGTTACTTGAAAAAAGTAATCAGATTACGTAACTCGCATTACTTGTAATGAGTTACCCCCAACACTGGTGATAATTATAGTGATAGTGAGACAAGTTAAATTCAGAGTTGTTTATTGAGCATCACGTTGTTCATTAAAATTGTTACGTAAGCTCCAAGGCCACAAATAGATAGTGTGAAAGAGCTGAGAGATTATGATTCCACTAAGTTTTCGAGCGGATAAGATAACGCAAAACTCATTATTGATAAGACAGTTGTGGACATTTACCATTTTGCAACCTTCATCTAATAAAAATCCATAACATATGCCAGATAAAATGACCATTATATATTTACCACAGTTCCAGAAATCCCAGGGTTTTGTTAAATTTAGATCAAATTAATGTTTTACTCTGTGTTAATATGTTTTAAATTAAATTATGAAAGGCTCAAAGTTGTTTGTTTAAAAGATTAAGATTACTATTGTTCTGGATTACATTTTTTCTTCTAGTCAGAACAGACATGATTTGATGCCTGAACTGTACAGATGCTTCTGATGTTTCAGCAAATAGGATTAAAGTCGACCCATAGAAACCGGGCTACTGGCCACCCGATCACACCACCTGTCACCAGTTTATAGCTCTACTGGATGACCTTAGCTGAGGCCAAACCAGGTCTATTACATGATTTCAGATTGTATGTTATTATTTCAGCACGTCCTGAAATGTGTCTTCATGGTATAAACGCAGGGGTCCTTATTCATGGAACATAGGCGGAAGGAATTGTTGTGTACTTTAAATTGTGTACAGTATACATTCATTTATATGTAAACTGTCCCATTTACTTGAATGCAACAATTTATGCAAGAATGTTCTTTGCAAGGAATTTGTTCTACTTGCATTTCATGATTAAAACCCATTGTGCATTTACTTCCTATTTATATACTTCCTGTCCTTCTTTTCAGTACATTTTAGCATATGCTGAACATGTAGTACCCATTGTGCCCATATTAAGCTGTGAAATTTGCAGAACTCACCAGAACATTTTTATTACCCAGTGATTACGGTAAACAACAGTAAAGGTAACCCAACCCAGTTAAGTGCAGGTTACCCAACAGCTTGTTAACATCAACTGCAGAATGAAAACCAGTAAAACTCTTTTAATGTAGAAAATAGTTCTATACTTTTCCCACTAACTTAATATTTGACAAATATGTTTTGATAATATCCAACAAATTTCCATTTTGTACTGTTTATCAGTTATGCTCATATCCTCCAAAAATGCAGAGCATTACTTTTTTTTCAGACAGTAGTTCCATCTATCCTGGAGGCCATTTCATTTGCCGTCCTCCGAGAACATGAATGTGAAGGTGATACACGGACTGCGCCCCATTTTTTCCATCATTAATGACTGTAAAATAATAATGACAGATAATTAAGCAAATAATACATTAAGCAGATAATACAACACACTACAGCAAAATATAGAAATAATAGTACTGTATGTATGTATATATATATATATATATATATATATATATATATATATATATATATATGTGTGTGTGTGTGTGTGTGTGTGTGTGTGTGTGTGTGTGTGTTAGATGTCAAGCTTTACAGGGTTAGGATAATAAAGATGCTAAATGAACCCATTTCAAACAAAGGATATTTCACTCACCGACTCTGTATCCTTCATCCAGTCCTTCTTTCTTTGCTATGTTTTTGGCCACTATCAAGAGATGACCCAGGAGCTGGATGGAAAATGTCAAGAGCTTAGAGGTGTGCTCTGTAATTATTAAAATTAGAAACTAATAAAATGTATATATGGACAGACAAACCGATGCATCATCATCGTGTGCTTCACTGATCTTGGGAATGGGAATCCTTGGAATAACCAGGAAGTGCACAGGAGCCTGGGGATTTACATCTCTGAAAGCTAGACACTGCAACATTATATATGTTATTATGATATTATATGCAAACTGACATGCACACTGTTCATTTATAAAATGTATAAAACTTTACAAAAAAGTCTGAATTAAGAGAAATATTTCACAATATGTTACTTAACAATATATTAAGCAAAGGTCCTAAAGGCTTGTGGTCTGTAACTTACCTTGTCATCCTCATAAATGATAACTGCAGGGATAGTTTTGTCAATTATTTTAGAAAATATAGTGGGTTCAGGTTTTCCGTATTTCTTGCTGGCCTCCTTTGCCAAGCGAACCTCATCGCGCGTGGAAGAGCAGAAGGTCTGATACAAACAAGCAAACAATATTCATATATAATTTATATTATATATAAATATAATTAATTTTATATATAATTATTTTATATGTATATATAAACAAAACGTATTTTTCTTAAATATATGCATGCATGTGTGTGTGTATTTATATATACATAATAAATATACACAGTACACACACAGACATATATTATGCAAACAAAAAACTTTTATTTTGGATGCGATTCATTGTTTGACAGCACTATTATTTTTATTTCTGTAAATAATGGTTTATAAAAATCCGTGCATAAGAGATTTACACATTTACCATCAGACGCTCTCTCAAAGTACTGCCCACACTCCAGTCCAGTAGGTGGCGGTAAATGCACCTTTAAGTTGGTTTGCCAACCACCAATATAATTAAAAGAAGAAGAACCATCAAACGCTTGATCCTCCTCTCATTCACTCCAGCAGACGGCAGCAGACAAACACGCAGTGTGGCACTGAATGATAGAAGAAGAACCCGTGAGAGATCACGTGGGAGAAACATGGCGTCCTGCAGCAGGTTGCCCTTGCATCCTTTTCTCTCCAGTACACCAGCACGCCTCATCTGTAACAGAAATGTCCAGGTTGAAGCTTCCACAGCAAAGAGTTTATATCCAACCCCCCTGCCGTCCCGGACCGCGAAGAGGCGCGCGGTCCACGGCACAGGAGAAGATCCGAGCGCTCACTCGCGTCCAGCGCAAGAAGTACGTGATTCACCCACAGACGCTTGCTCTCAACGCGGACAAATGGTATCAGCACTACACCAGAACGGCATATCTCAGCGGTGTACCCGAGAAGTACGCCGCGTCAACGAATGCGGAGTCTGCGCCGGTGGTCGGTGAGTCAGTGTTGTCTGAGGGGCGATCTGTCGCCCGCAACTCCATCTTACAAGAACACTGGTACGTGAAGAAAGAGAGCGCTTTCATCCATAAAGAGCAAGAGCAATTCGCCACCCCGTTTTTAAGGAACATGGTGTGTGGTCTGAAAAACCTTCTGGCCAAAGAAAACCCCGTGCTGAGTCGCTCTAGCTTAGGTGAGTTTGTTCTCATCCTTTATATTGCTTAAAGTATATCATGTGTTTTCTGGTTTGCATTTCATTTGCTTTGTTTATTATTTGAAGATTTTGACCCTCAAGTCAGCTATTACTGGTTGCGGGGAGAAAGGACTGTTGCAGAGGGCCCCAGGAGATTCCAGATTGATGACAAACCTCAGTCAGATCAGGATCCCGCAGCAGCTTCCTGAGGTTACCTCACATTATGTTCATGATGAACACAATTTGTGTCAATTATTTTAATCATGACTGCAGGCAGTGTTTAAATATGCAACTGTTTTACAATGAAGAAGTCTGTGGTAATGTTGATTGGCAATCTTGGCATGCTGCACTCGGGAGGAATAGAATTAATGTGTGATATGTGCTTAATAGTGATGTCATTTTTCTCTCGAGGCAGAGATGTCTGCTGATGTTCCTGTTATCACTTTGGCTCCTGACCTGCTCCCCTTGTTCAGGAGACAGTTTGACAACAACATCTTCATAGGCTGGTGTGTTCCAGTGTTTTTAGTATACTTTTTTTTAATATATATATATATATATAATTGTAGTATTTATGAATATTTTAAATTGACTTTAACATTTATATTATCAATTATCAATGTAGTTTTAGCAGTTTCTAGTATTTCTATTTTGCTTTTGTATTTTTATTTCAGATTTAGTGATTGTATACTTCAACTTATTCTATCTCACTTGCAGAGACAACATTTATGTTTTTTTTTTTATTTTTGTTTTTTTTTCATCTAATGTTCACTTTATTTGATTTCAGATTTATTTGATTTACCAGAACTTAATTTTATTAGTTTTAGGTAACAGTAACTACGTTGGTCTGTTGCCAGGTTTTTGTCTTCAACTTCTAACTGTATAGGACTTCAATTTAGGCTAATGAACTATTACATAGAAAAATAAGTGTTTGCTATTAGAAATTAAATGTCATTTGATTATTAATAAAGTAAACTATTTTTGTGAGCACTGGTGTCTAATCACTTTGCTGTTGCCAGTTGTTCAAAAGCAACTGATAAGAACACTTTAGTGCAGTGCTTCTCAACCAGGGGCTGCTAGGAGACCCCCAATAAATCTTTTTAAAAATTATTTAAATTTAGGTATATTAAATAATAACATATTTATAAAAATGCTAATTATAAACAAAGCTTATTCACTTATATTACATCAGAGGTAAATAGCAACTTGCTGAGCCACTGCTGTAGTGCACAGCCTCTTGTGGCCAGCGGTATATCAGAAATTAACCATGAGTTTGAAGTAAGGGTGTGCTATAGCTATATATATATATATATATACAGTATATATATATATAAGATGTATAACATCGTAATTGTTGTTTAAACGATATGCGATTTGACATTGAGTATATTGCAGAAACCAAACAAAAACAAACCCAGAGAGTGCAGGCATTCACTACATGATGTAGGTTTAGACTACTGTGCGATTTAGTCTATTAAATTAATTTTGAATTAGTAACTACGTTGGTCTGTTGCCAGGTTTTTGTCTTCAACTTCTAACTGTATAGGACTTCAATTTAGGCTAATGAACTATTACATAGAAAAATAAGTGTTTGCTATTAGAAATTAAATGTCATTTGATTATTAATAAAGTAAACTATTTTTGTGAGCACTGGTGTCTAATCACTTTGCTGTTGCCAGTTGTTCAAAAGCAACTGATAAGAACACTTTAGTGCAGTGCTTCTCAACCAGGGGCTGCTAGGAGACCCCCAATAAATCTTTTTAAAAATTATTTAAATTTAGGTATATTAAATAATAACATATTTATAAAAATGCTAATTATAAACAAAGCTTATTCACTTATATTACATCAGAGGTAAATAGCAACTTGCTGAGCCACTGCTGTAGTGCACAGCCTCTTGTGGCCAGCGGTATATCAGAAATTAACCATGAGTTTGAAGTAGGGGTGTGCTATAGCTATATATATATATATATATACAGTATATATATATATAAGATGTATAACATCGTAATTGTTGTTTAAACGATATGCGATTTGACATTGAGTATATTGCAGAAACCAAACAAAAACAAACCCAGAGAGTGCAGGCATTCACTACATGATGTAGGTTTAGACTACTGTGCGATTTAGTCTATTAAATTAATTTTGAATTCCCCAAAATTCAAGATAAGGCCATATCACTTTTATATGTCCTTTATATTGATATCATCTTATGTAGTTAATATCACATGACGAGTGACGTTTTTCTCCAAATATCATTAGCACGATTGCTAATGTGATATTGATTTGATGAACAGCTCAATCAATAAGAAGTTAATATTAAGTGACTTACATTTTAGACACAACAGTTCTTGTTTTTGCTGTATTTCGACAACGGAAATAGTTCCAAACAAAGCCACAGCAGAACTGGGGCCCATTCTTCGTACGTCGCTAACTCTGTTAGCTGGACTTGATTGTTGACGATTTGGCATGATCTTGGATTATTTGGCTTAAAAACTCTGTTTTGATCTACCCAGGATTTTGGAGTGAAGAGGACGTGAGCAGGCCATTTGTGTCTCAGGCTGTCGTCACAGATGGGCAATTCTTCTAATTTTTCTGCTATCAGCTCAATACTCTGGCTTTGAGTCCAAGGGCTGATGGCAACAATAGCAGGAAGAACTTCTGCTGGGGCACATGAAGCATGCGTCTGTATGAGGGAATCACAGACGGAGACATTGTGGGCTCTTAAACTGCTGCTGCAGTTTTTATTGAACAAACCACAGTTTTGAAAATGCTGAAGTACAGAAAACATATGATTGTTCTGCGTGTCAATAAACATAATATATGGAGCTGCATGTTATTTTTGTCTTCATTTAAGTTTAAGAACTTGTGTTTAAAGAAGTTTTTGTTTTGTATTTAAGTGCCCAAAATAGAACTGAAAATCAAAAGATTACACATTGTTTGTTGAAGAATCAAATCAGTCATATTTGTATTTAAAGGAATCGGCCAAAAATGAAAATTGTAATTTACTCACCCTCATGTCATTCCAAACCCATAAGACTTTTGTTCATCTTTGAAACGCAAATGAAGACCATTTTTTAGCTTTGCTCTTTCTGTTCCTCAATTGAAAGTCCAAACAACCGAAAGCTTTCACACATCACAAAGTACAAAAAGATATCATAAAAGTAATTTGCATGAATCAAGCAGTTTGATCCAAGTCTTCGGAAGAGATACGATTGCTTTATATGATGGAAAAACCTCATTGGTTCTCGTGCGTCAAGAGAAGTTGAACTACCTTTGACCTTTGTGTGCGTGTTGATCAATGTTTATAAATTAATATAAGCAGAAATTAAAACTGCATTATATGAAGCGACTTAATCCTTTAATAAAGCCTTCAGAAAAAGAATCAGTTTTATCTTTAGTTGACCTTTATTATTAAATTGACTTTCAAAAGGTCATATGAACACTTAAAACTTTAGCAATAACACTATATTGAAGATTATGTAAACATGCCTTATACTTTTAGAATAGTTCCCCAGGTCTCTGGCCTGTATACTGAAACTATGAAAAAGCCAAGGTTAAACTATGAAAAAGGTTAAACGAATTAAAGCAGTGTTAAGTCATTGTTTAGTAATACTGAATAGCTTATTTACTTCTATAACATATCTTATTTGCATTTTTTTGACATTAGAAATGACATATGATTATTTTCTGAAATAAACAACCACTTACGTCCTTTTAATGATATACTGTTCATTGTTTCTATTTACAGTTTCTTCAGAGTTTTCAATTTCTTGTCCATCTTTAGTCCAATAGCCAGTAATGTACGGAGGGTTATTTGGTATATCAATTAGGTTACATAAAAGCTCTATATATTGGGGTGTCAGGATTGCAAGCTCTTCAATAATGACTTGATTTTGACCTGTATTCCAAGAAATTGTAGCCCAATCAGCAAAACAAACCTCTGCAATTATGTACAATTCAATGTATTGTCTCTAGTAAAGTAAGCTATTTTTGACCAACTTATTACAAAATTATACATTCACATTTTAAAATAATAAATTTATCAAAACAGATTTGGAGAAACGTAGCATTACATCACATGCTCATCAATGGATCCTCTGCAGTGAATGGGTGCCGTCAAAATAAGAGTCCAAACTGCTGATAAAAACATCACAATAATCCACATGCCAAGTAATCCACACAACTCCAGTCTCTCTATTAATGTTTTGTGAAGTGCAAAGCTGCTGTTTGTAAGAAACAAATCCATTATTAAGGGGTTTTAACTTCATATCGTCACTTCTGGCTAAAATACGACGACTCTATCCATAATAACGCTTCTTCCAGTGGAAAATCTCCTGTCGTCTTCTCACATCAAAATCCACCAACGTATTTGTTTAGATCTGTTTTAAACTGTTTTTGCTAGTAAACGGTCCTTGATCTGTATGATGAGAGGACTTTTTCAATGGAAAAATCAATATGAATAGAGGACTCATATTTTAGCCAGAAGCGACAGTTTAAAGTCAAAAAACATCTTAATGATGGATTTGTTTATTATAAACATGCAAGTTTTCACTTCACAAGATGTTAATTCAAAATCCACCAACGTATTTGTTTAGATCTGTTTTAAACTGTTTTTGCTAGTAAACGGTCCTTGGATCTGTACGATGAGAGGACTTTTTCAATGGAAAAATCAATATGAATAGAGGACTCATATTTTAGCCAGAAGCGACAGTTTAAAGTCAAAAAACATCTTAATGATGGATTTGTTTATTATAAACATGCAAGTTTTCACTTCACAAGATGTTAACTGATGGACTGGCGTCGTGTGGATTACGTGAATTATTGTGATGTTTTTATCAGCTGCCTGGACTCTCGTTCTGACGGCACCCATTCACTGCAGAGGATGATACATTGATGATCAAGTGATGCAATGATACATTTCTCCAAATCTGTTCTGATGAAGAAACAAACTCAGCTACATCTTAGATGGCCAGAAGGGGAGTAAATTTTCAGCAAATGTTCATTTTTTTATTAACTATTCGTGTAATAATTTTATCATTTGTACACTTATAAATAATGTCAAATGCATACTTGTGGCTAATAAGATATTACAGGGTAACCATACCTTTGGATACAGCTTTCTGTGTTGTAATTACAGGAACAGACTGTGGGGAAGGGGTTGTTTCTAAAAAAAAAAAAGAAGAAGAAGAAGAAGAAGAAGAAAATAAAAAAAGACATGCCATATGACTTTGCACTGAATAAAAAACACTACCAACTCACCATTCTGCTAAAGAGACCAGCCTAGTCAAGGTTAAAACTGGCATAATATTTAAAAACATCAAGCAATTATTTTACAATTATTTAGAATAATTTTACAGTTACTTAACCATCTCCTAGAAACATAGGAAAAACCAACAGATCAGGTGATTTAAATTCAGACCAAATGATATCAAGGTCATAATATCAAAGCTTGAAAAAAACAACAACAACAAGGCCCCAGAAATGTTGCACTACATTAAAAAGCAGACATGCACATACCTGTGTTCATCCCATCACAGCAGAGGAGAAGTAAGGTGAGATGTAAGACATTAGCCATGGAGAAGAGTGCTCTTTCCCCGCAGCTGTGCTGTGTGCGGCTAGGGCGAGGCATCTCTTCTGGTGCGTCTTTTTCAGAAGCAGGTCCCCAGAGACACCAACACCCCTCCCTTCTCCTCTCTTTCTGCAGCCATGGTGACTTGGCAGTACTGGTGTCTGCTTGCAGCTGACTGTTTTAAATTAATCACGAGTGTCAGTGCCACAGCCCTGACTGATCAAATGATTGGAAAGCACGCTCTATTGAGATGGCACAACGCAGTGTTCGAACACTTACAATTCGCACCTCACAAATGTGGACGTAGTTATAAGTGTAGCCTTTTATTTATTTTAAGGGCCGTTCCGGTGTTGTGAAAAGTATTCTGTACTAGAGGATCGTATTACTGTCTGTTTGCTCACGTGCATCAGTCGGAGTGTAATCAGCGAGAGATCTTAAGACAGGTGAAAAGCGTTTGGTTAATGGTGAATATTGACCTGTTGTGCGTACCGTTGTGGCTCCCGCTGGTAGCAGCGGATAGTCGCTGCATTTGAGGTAAAAACGACGCAATTTTTTATTGTGTAAGGTGCCAGGAATATAAGGAGCCCCGGGTTGCACTGTCTGTTCGTTCACACGCATCTATTGGATCGACAGCTGCCTTTAGCGGTGCCTTTACCGATTACCTCCATCATTCAAAGCATTCGGCACGAGCGATCGTCTGTGAGTGACGCCCCGCCCCCGACTCTCTGATTGACAGGTCTCCGTGTAAGCCACATACAGTCTATGGTAAACCAGCGGAAATTCCAATGCATTTGAGTTTGGCAGGTTACATGCGAGACGCAGAGAGAGTGAAAAAGCAGACGTGGTAATTAATTACAGGCTCGTAACTCGTAAGACATGGGAAATACAGTTGCAAATGGACTATGCTTTTTCATTTGAAATTTGGCAGTCACTGTGCGTTTGTGAAAGCAAGATTTGCAATTGCGTTTGGATTATGTCACAATTTATGCGTCCACATATGGAAAACACAATTGAAAATACAATTTTCAATTCCTTTTGAAAATAGTCCGGAATATCCTTCCATAGATTATATATATATATATATATATATATATATATATATATATATATATATATATATATATATATATATATATATATAT